ATCAAGACAGGACTTGTATCGCTGAAGTTATTCGGAAGGAATTTCTACCAGAAATTAACAAACAAGCAGATACGTAACATTATGTATCCTACTCATCTATCACTTTACTTTTTAATGTTGTCTTAGGCGACCCAAAGTTTAGTTTCCATACAATACAAACAAACGTATATACGTTTTTCTCTCGATAAAAAATTCTCTACAATTTAGCTTTGCAAGTCTATTATCACAGGTTAAATGTATTTGAATGTATTACACATTGAAAACAAAGTAATTTTGACGTTAGAATTAAAAATCAAGTATACTTAGAACTATAACTTAAGACAACTAAGCCATGTAACACACGATTTTAATGAAACTCAAATATGTTAAAAGAGTAAGCTTTTTTTAAGATGTCCATGGATATTTCTATGCAATTTTCATAAAATTTCCTAACATATCATATGATCATAAGTCAAAATATATTGAGACTAATCCAAAGGATAAATCGAGGCTAATTCAAAAAATGAGTTGGGATTAATTCAAAGGATAAGATGAGGCTAATCCAAAGGATAAATTGAGGCTAATTCCAGTACAAAATAACAATGATTATCACGAGTTTTCTGAAAAACTCACTGCGTGTATTAATGAAACACCTTGAGTCCTTCCACGAGTTGTAATTTTATTTATTTATTTATTTGTTGTTGTTGTTGTATCTGACCTGTTACTTGATATAATTTGTTTAGAAAACATATATTAAAGAATATGAAAGTTGCAGAAACGTGCTGGCAAACCATTAACAAATACTTCAGCCAAAACGATAAAATCAGATTATTTTGTTATGGGCCCGGCATGGCCAGGTGGTTAGGGCACACGACTAGCAATCTGAGGGTCGCGGGTTCGAATCTCCATCTCACCAAACATGCTCGCCCTTTCAGCCTTGGGGGCGTTATAATGTGACGGTCAATCCCACTATTCGTTGGTAAAAGAGTAGCCCAAGAGTTGGCGGTGGGTGGTGATGACTAATTACCTTCCCTCTATTCTTACACTGCTAAATTAGGGACGGCTAGCGCAGATAGCCCTCGTGTAGCTTTGCGCGAAATTCAAAACAAACAAACAATTTTGTTGTGATACTTACTTTCTCTGTAAGTAGCAGAATGTGTTCGATTGATGTCAACGTTGTACAGTTGTTCTACCTTCGCCTGAGAGAAAGGTACCATCAAGCGAACAGTGGATGTAGCACTTATGGAAAGGCATTCCTAAACGATGAGATTAAATCGATTTACATCATTTATCAAAGAAATATTTAGATACATTCATTTTAACTTATACTTATTCCTTACTATCTCTTATATATGTGTGTGTGTGTGCAAGTTTTAATACTACAATTTAAAAAAAGATCGTACATACAGCACCTAACCTTTCACATTCACATAACCAGCACCTAACTGTCAAAAACTTACTTTTTGAGTAGTAATATATATATATATATAGTAAGTTAAATATGGGTGTTGGGTTAAGGATTCTTCTACAGTAGGTGTCCGTGACTTATAAGCTATAAATTCGACGATAAATGAACATCAAGCATCCGCTTGTTTTAAAATAATATATTCAAAACAAGTCAAACATATGTACAAAAATTCTTTACACTATGTATACCATAGTTGTATCTTAAATCTTCCTGTTGTCAAAAGTCCACTTAGTCCAATTCAATTGCTTTAGAATTCAGTTGACAAGCCGAACTATTTTCTCTATTTTTTTATCTTAAACACTATCAATGTATAATTCACTTATTCCTTTTCTTCTCTCTCTCTTTTTCTTTTATCACAACAGTATCGGTGTCGTTGAGTTACCGCAATTATATCCCGAACTTCCGATACTCGTCTGCTTTTACGTATTTAGGCCTACTTCCAATAAACGTCTGCTTTTCTTATATAGGCCTACTTCCAAATAATCGTCTGCCTTTTGTCAAAGCCCACACAGACAGGTTCAATTGCTTTAGAACACCCTTTGACGAGACAAATTATTCTCCTAAAATGTCAGAAAACTGTTAATCTCCCTTTAACATATCAACCTTTAGGGAATTCACTCCTACGACGGTTAACTTTACGTTTTCTAACCTTTCTCTGACCGAAACTTTCTTTCACTCGGCTTTACTTTTGGATCTCCTCTCTCTCTCTCTTTTCGTCTGCTTGCTGCTATTTATACGCCTATCACTTAGGTCTTCTAGAAACCTTTATATTCTCGACATTAATGGATTTCACGCGACTTTCGATAGCCTCTATATCAATAACTTACAAATACAACTTCCACAACTCGTCTGCTTTTAACTCTCTTATTAAGAAAAAAAACTAAATAATCATGAAATATTAACTCACAAAATAAATAAATTGATACTACCTACACCATACAGTCTTTTATATCTGACACTAACCTTCGCCTCCCAGTGGCACAGCGGTATGTCTGCGGACTTACAACGCTAGAAACCCTTGTGTAGCTTTGTGCATAATTAAAAACAAACAAACACTAACCTTCCGGAATCACACATCCAGCACCTAACCTTCCGTGAAACATCGTATTTAACTAATATTAAACTGATATCACGACTTTACCATATGTTCCCAAAATAAGACTTGTCAAAGGGACTTCAAACAAAATTAAGCTTAATTCCCTTTAAAAAGTCACAATTTTAAAATAAAATTAATAAGCAAATAAACGATATATTCGTAATGTTATTTCTTTAGAAAAAATAATAAACGAATTCAAACATTAATAATTGTTGTTGATCGATCCACAGCTCCAAACGTCAATCTCTAGTCTACGTTCGGCCAACAAAGAAACATAAAAATCCTTAAACAATTTTATGAGACGGATGGTTGTTTAGTTTCTAGTGCAAAGCTACACAGAGGACTATCTACTCTCTGTCCACCGCGGGGAATCGAGTCTCGGATTTTAGCATTGTAAGTCGTGAAACAGAGAGTCGGTAATAGATACAATAGTTATTATTTAGAGAATTGGAACACTAAAACGTACATTGTTGTTTCTCTATAGTAAATTGGAAATATTATCTACGTTACTCTTTCAAATAAAAATACCCGTTGTACATTTATAACTATTTCTTGCATAAAACTTCATATTGTCATATAACAATTCACCGAAAATCTTTAAAATTTACATCCATTAATTACCTTGACATGAAGTAATTAAGATAAAAAGACATGTTTATTTTGACATCAATAACACAGGTAGATAAACTTAGAAGTGTTAAAATAAAGAAAATAGAAAGCATCTTGGTGTTTAGCACTAATTAAAACAAATAAAAGTTCTAGTTATTTTCACACCAATAAACAAAAAAAAAACAAGTTGACTTACAGCTGTCAAAAGAACCAAAATAGAAAGCATTTTGGTGTTTAGAACCACACTCAAGTTCACCATTCAACTAATGTGGACTTTACAGTCAGAACTCAGGATTTAGTTGTTTCGGGCACGTCTCACCTCTTTATTTGCCACGCCAGAACTGAGGAAGTCAGAAAGATGTGGCCCGCCCTTTAATGGATAAGCTCTTAGATGAAAATAAGTTTTCCTACTAGTTAAGCCTGAGTTAAAGTGCGCCAAATACTGTACTACAGTAACTATAGTGTTCGGTGAGGCTTTTTATCAGGTTCAACTAACGTCGTTTTGTCTTGTTTATAGATTGGAACAATAACTAGAAAACCTTAACCTTGAGAACTGCAACAACAGAACCTATGTCCTTGGACAAGTGCCAAATATTATTATGAATTCACTTTCTAAATTTCAAGCTTATAACCGCAATCAAGGTAACTTCACCTTTCTCCTTACCCCCCATAAACTAAAACATCGGCTTATACAGTTTAAAATTAAACTTCAAAATTAATTTGTGGTGACAAATTACATAATTACAAATCTGTTATATCAATACTTCTGAAAGTTCCATTGAATGAAAAACACGTAAATTTGGTAATTTTTACGTTATATTATATTTACTTATTTATAGTTATTCTTTAAAATATAATTTGTGGGGAGTTCAACGTATGTGTGTCATGTATTTGTTCTTTATTGAATCAGTGGTCTTACATATTAAAGCTAAGGGATGACCATGATCGGACAGTAAGTCGGACACAAAGTCTGCAGAACGAAAAGCTTTAATTTCCGTGAGTGGGTTAGGCACAAATCGAGTGTTTATTTATTTTTTAGCTTGTTTGTTGTTGTTTTGTCAGACGGTTAGAGTCCCCGGAATGTAAACCACAGGGTTCATAACTTGCGTCCCGTTTCTGTAAATATAGGCCCCTCAGTTTTGAGCTATGGGTGCGCTAAAAAGGTGACGGTCAAATCCCACTATTCGATCAGACAACAGTAGCCGAAGAGCTGGCGATGGGTGTTGTTAAATAAGTTACTTTCCTTCAAGTCTAGCAGTTCAAACTTCGGGGCGGCTGTGCACTTATAGCCCTTTGCGCGAAAAGTCTGAAACAAAAATAAAACTGCTTGCAGATGACATTGTGGTCAGTTTAGATTGCAGCGACGTGATTTTACAAGCAAGAGCGCCAATGACAACGTTTATTTACTTTCACTGGTAGAAAAATAACTGGTAAGAAAAACAAAACACAACAACATAAAATTATTCATGTCCCGGTGTTATCTAGAATATAATTAGTGAAGCGATCGTAGGTAAACAAAAATACAGAAATATGGTAAATTAGATTATTCCAGCTCTAGTGAAATACAGCTGATGCAAGAAGGCAATACTAATTCGAAAAGTGATAAACGTAAACAAATTAAAATAAATGTTATGCAAATGCGATAAAAAAAGACATATACATATATATGTTGCTACAAAAGTTTACAGTTCGCTCGTTCTTTACACAGGTGAACAACAGAACTAAATTTTGTAAATATTTCAGGAACGACTTTTATTCACTGCCAAAAGTAAGTTAACCATAATGTATCGTTTGTTATACAGGAGTTATTCGAAATTCAAAATGGTCAGAGTTAAGAAATAGTCCAATCAACTTGTTTGAAAGAGCCACATTTGGCAAAAAAGAAAGATACTTAACAAAGATTATGGATCATCCTGGTGTCCATTCAACCTCTGCATCTTATCAGTCGGCGGACAACATAAGAAAGGATCCTGTCCCATTTCTAAGTCATCGCAACAACAAGCTCTTTGTCGTCGCCTAATGAGATCCAATATATATTTTATGGTATTTAAATAAGGACATCTTGTTGGCCAATTCATGCCCACTATGGTTTCCTGTGGAAGATAGTCAATAATAATCTTTGCAGTATGGTACCAGGCATTACTCTGCATCTGAAAAAAACTGATCCGATCGTATATCCTGGAAAGACATTACAATTGAGTTCATTATCGCGTCAATATATCTTCGAACAAGAACTTCGCCTCTTGGATTCGTAAAAGGATCCAAACTCTAATTTATACCGATGTTCTCACACATTATAAACGAACCACCATAGAAACAATGGCGGTGAACGATGTGCTACATATATATACATATATAATCTATTCAACACTAGTCTCGTGTTTGAATGGCTACAACACAAGTTAAAGATGAAAGACAATCATTGTTGACTAACAAAACAAAACACCAATATTTCGGCTGATGCACAATCCTAGTGTTGAATTTTATACAGTCTATCTACCTACACATAATAATATTAGTAATTTAAAGCATTTTATAACACAAACTAATAATCAAACACTGAATAAACAATATTTTAAAAATTACCTCAGATGACGAACGATTACTTTCCTCCATGTATTATTCCTGAACGTTTCAAACCAGAACTTTTTGTTTGTTTGTTTGTTGTTAAGCGCAAAGCTACACAATGGGCTATCTTTGCTGTGCCCACCACAGGTATCGAAACCAGGTTTTAGCGTTATAAGTCTTCATATTGACCGCTGAGCCATTGGGAGATCAAACTAGAACTCGTTAAATAAAATGTGACTTCACAACAGAACAATGTAATTAAATATACAGTTTTGTATTGAAAACCACACGCAATTTCTGTTCTTAGAACATATAAAAATACTTTTATGTTTATAGTACTGTAACAATCTTTGTGTTACAGTTCACACAAGTCTATGTTTTAGGAATAAAAATGTGTGTTGTTGAGAAATAGCATAATTTTTCTGTTAATTTACAACATAAATGTTTATAGTGCAAAGAAGAACATTCACTCCTTGCTCTATAGGTAGTAACTGGACTAATTTTTTATAGAAATGCGAAATATTGATTCATCAGTGAGGAGCGCTCAAGGATGTTGCTTTCCAGTTCTA